AGCTAGACATGCACAAGTTCATGGGGCCACATATAATGCATCTGGAAGTGGTGAGAGAGTTGGCAGATGGGACTGCAGAGCTATAAGCTAGTTTGAAAACTCATGACAATTGGGAGAGGATGCTCCAGAAAGTAGGAGAGAGGCAAAAATAGTGCCCATCTTTTAAAAGGGGAAGGAGGATCCAGTGAACTACAGACCATCAGCCTCATCTCAGTCCTTGGAAAAATCATTAAAAAGGTCTTCAAGGAATCCATTTTGAAACACTTGGAGGAGAGGAAGGTGATCAGAAGCAGTCAACATGGATTCACCGAAGGCGAGTCATGTCTGACCAACTTCATTGCCTTCTATAATGAGATAAATATCTCTTTTGATATAGTGGAAACTAAAAAAGTAATATACCTAGACTTTAGCAAAGTGTTTGTTACTGTCTTCCACAATTTTCTTGCCATCAAGTTAAAGTTGTATGGATTGGATTTATGGACTACAATGTGGATAGAATGCTGGCTATATCATTGGGCTGAATGGGCAGCAATCAGTGGGTCGATGTCTACTTGGCAATCAGAATCAAAGTGCCCCAATGATCAGCCCTAGGGCTAATTTGTTCAACATTTTCATTAATGATCTGAATGATGGGATGGATAGCACCTTCAGCAAGTTCATGTATGACACTAAGCTATGGGGAGAGGTAGATACGCTGGACGGTAGTCATAGGATCCAGAGTGACCTAGACAAATTGGGGATTGGACCAAAGAAATCAGATAAGGTTCAGCAAGGACAAATACAGAGTCCTGCACTTAGGACAGAAAAATCCCATTCACCTCTATAGACTGTGGACTAACTGGCTAAGTGACAGTTCTGCAGAAAAAAGACTTGAAGACAAGAAGCTAGATGTGAGTCAACCGTGTGGCCGTGTTGCCAAGAAGACTAACTGCATATTGGGCTGCATTAGTAGAAGTATTGTCAGCAAATCCAGGGAAGTGCTTATTCCCTCTATTTGGTACTGGTGACTCTACATCTGTTCTTGTGTCCAGTTTTGGCCCCCCACTATAGAAAGTTTGTGAACAAATTGGAGAGAGTCCAACAAAGGATAACAAAAATGATAAGGAAGCTAAAGCACATGACTTAGGAGAGGATGAGAAACTGGGGTTGTTCAGTCTGCAGAAGAGAAGAGAGAAGCGGGATTTGATGGCAGCCTTCAGCTATCTAAATGTTTGTGTGGGGGGGGGGGGGGGGTCCCAAAGAGAATGGAACCAGGCTTTTCTCAGTGGTGGCAGATGACAGAACAAGGAGCAGTGACCTCAAGTTGCACTGGGTGAAGTCTAGGCTGGATATTAGGAAAAAACTATTTCACTAGGAGGGTGGTGAAGGAATGGAATGGGTTACTTAGGGAGGTGGTGGAATCTCCATCCAGAGAAGTTTTATATATGGTCAGGTTTGACAAAGCCCTGGCTGGGATGATTCAGTTTGGGTTGGTCCTATTTGAGTATGGTTTGGACTTGATGACTTCCTGAGGTCTCTTTCAACTCTGTCTATGCTTCTATGATTAATAATATTTTGCTAACAGTAGGTTTTGTACATGATGTATAGATAAGATTACAGGACAAAGCTACATTTTTAAAGTTTGTTCATAGCCTTTAGAAACTTTACAACTTTGCCATTCCATGAGGTTTAACTGTTAATTTTAACTAAGGGGTTTATCTTGGAATCGTGCTTCTCTGCCGCGTATAGACACGGGAAGTTATTGCGGTCTAGTCAGTTTCCAAATTGGCGACCAGCTGGACACATGCTAATGAAGTGCGGGATATTTAAATCCCGTGCTTCATTTGCAATTTTGGTCGCCCTCATTAGCCTCCCTAGTTCGAACTAGGGGGCTAGTGTAGACGTACCTTTAGATAATAGTGCTGAAACATTTTTAAAATGGCTATGTATTAAATACAGGAAGTAATCAGGTAACACTGCAAATATGAATGAAAATACGAGTTCTCCCAAGCAACTGAAAGTCTTTAAGAATGAGGACTGACATAAGGTAGCCTGTGAACTTTACGAAAACACATTGCCCTGTGTATTGCCCATATTGCCCATATTGTAGAGAAAGGGCAGAAAAGGAGGTACATGAGGGGAAATAGTGATTGTTGTGGTGGTGGGAAATGGTGCCACTTGCAGTGAAAATTTGAGTGGGATGAAAGAAGCTGTGTGAAGATGAGTGTGGTCTGCAGGGAGGTAATTCCATTTCTACACAATTAGCAGCCTCCACACGGAACCCTGTTGTGGAGGAATTTGTAATAATTTGAAAAGAGGTAGACATTTAAAATAGAGTTAAGATTGCTGATATGCTTCACTAACTTGTCAGAAGTAGAAAGCTTTACAACAATGCTGTAGATTTCAAAAAAGCTTACATATGTTTAGAAAGCTTACATATTAAAAACAAATGATGGCTGGGAGTATGAAAAGTATACACCAGGGATCCTCTTATAGAATTAACTGTGGTCCATCTTACTACCTTGAAATGAGAAGTATATCTTGTCTATAAACTTCATAATTTCTCAACACTGCCAATGTAACACTGCCCTCAGTAACATATATAGGTCCTACAGTTGTGTCTATCAGAATTACCATTATTTAAACTGTTGAATTAGATGATTATATATGGTGGATGTCTGTAACTTAATACAAGTAGGATAACTAGGTACAGTAGCTACTTTTCAAAGTTAAATAAATAGTTTAAAAAGCTGTTTGTCATACTTACTACTTAATGAGTTTGACCCATTAGGCACAACAGATAGCCAATCACCTGAAAGAACAGGACACACTACTTTTTAGAAACTTTTAAAAATGAAACATTATTTAATTTAAAATGTTTTTAAACTTACTAGTTTCATGCTATACTTCAGCTCTGTATGAACAAAAGCATCTGTGTCGGAAACCCAAAGAAAAAAGAAAATAGCAGCTTGCCCTTATGATAGCAATGCTGTGCATGCATTACTAAAATAAAATGTCCAAAAGATTTCAGGTGCATCTCACCTGCTGCCAATTTAGTGAAAGAAGTCTGCATTTCAGTTCTTGTAGGACAAGCTTGAGTGCTTTCCCTATTGCTAACTGTTTCCGTTTTGTATATAATATGGATGATTTAGAAGAAGCTGTGTCAGCACTGATTTATACATTGACAGCTAAGGATAATAAGATATGGGCAAACATACAGCTCACCCTTTTACAGATTAACCTGCAGACTGCATTAGGCAAATTTGATGGCATTAAAAGATTTTGCCAATTTGTCTGGAAACAATTTCTCTTTTGTGTTGTGTCAAGGGTAACATTTCATGCCATTGTACTAATTTAAATGGCTTTGATAAATTGTTCCAGAGGTTAGAGAATAGTACTGTAGATATATTTTACCTCTTCAGAATGAAAAAGGCTATTAACATAATTATAAAATGAAATTAATTAGTTAAAATCAAAAGAGTTCTTAGGAAGTTAGGTTTAAAGAAAAACATGCTGCAGTACAAATATTGCACCAAAAATGATTCAGCAACATGTTCAGGAAATTATATTTTGGTTTTCATTTTTAGCAAACAGAAACACTGTTTCAGTATAGCCACGATGGTATAGTGTTTCTGTGTACTAGAAACAGAAACCAAAAAATATATGTGAAATTGCACAGGCAATGTAAAAGTTGCTAAGTTACAATGAACAAATATGCTATGATTTCTTATCTAAGTAAAGGGTTACCACAGCTTCAGGAGAACCTTTGAAAGTGCTTTAAGTAAAAGCTTTATTAGCTCTGATAGCTAGTATATATAATGAGAAACACAAGAAGCAAAGTTCATTTGTATTATGCTCATAGTCTTAATATTGTTCACTCACATTTTCTCATGTATGCTCCTGATTCTTGCAACTTACCTGAATGGCTAAGAGAACATCTGACAATTTAAAGTGAGGCAATATCATGTTTGCTTTACCTGGATTAAGATTGTCACAAAGCATCTAAAAATTAAGTTTAAACAGCAGCTTCTGGTAAAATACCTACTTGGCAAAAAGCTTATTAGGTATGTAGAAATGTGGATTTCTTAACTGAGTGATAATTAATTTCAGCAATGTGTTTATCTTTTTAGAGGAATCATGTATAATATACTGTATTAATGTTTTGAATTTTAAAAAGTAATAACATTCTTTGGAGGAATTATTATAAATTTTTCATAACTTAATACTTAAAGATTAATAATGTATGGGATGGCATTGCTGAGTTTTATTTTCAGGATTCAAGTGCCCCTTTAGTACATCTTATCTGCTTTATAATTACAAAGAACACAAGCTATGCAAAAATTATACACTGAAGGTTATTGCAAAACAAATGCTAGATATATTTAAAGCAGAATTAAAGAATGTAACTAACCAAGTGTATATGCTTGGAACAATGTTATTTCTTCATTTAGAAGAATTCTGGAAGGAAACTGCCTTTGAAAAACCCCAAAAGTGGTCTCCCTTGCTTTTTCTTGCCAAGGATAGTGAAATTAACATGCAGCTGGTCTTCTCTGATAAATGGATTCTGTTAGGTCACTGAGGGGATGCATGTGACATTAAGTGATTTACAGTCCTTTACCTTAATGAAATTGTTTCAGCGAGATGACGCTGAGAGCTTTTAATGGATAGCTTTTCTTGATGTAATGAAATTGCATTCCTTTGGCATTTAATATAAGGTGCAGTTATTATTTACTGGAGCTTTCCCAGAGCCGCTGTTTTGCACAGACAGTTCAGAACAAAAAGAGATTTCAGTGGCAGCATCAAGGCCAGAATGGCGTGTGACATTCTTAAGCAGATGAGTGTATTTGTGAGAGCGTTTCAGTTACTATGGCCTAGCTACGCCGACCCTTTAGGAGGCTTTCTTACACAGCGTTCATCTCTTTTACATATACCCTTCTAATCTGTTTAACAGGCAACTGGATTACAACCAGATCAGCTGTATTGAAGATGGGGCATTTAGGGCTCTACGCGACCTGGAAGTGCTGTAAGTACTGCTTGAATCTCTTACTTTTACGGGAGCTTAGTATCTAGGGAGTACTAATGTAAAATCTTATCTGTTAGCTTCAGCCTGGTGACAAAATGGTCTAGTGAAAAGATGTTTTAAAATAATCCACTGTGATATGTTGTCAAATAGTAAATATATATAAAGACATAGATATTATTTTGCTCACCCAAAAAAGCATTTCACAAAATAATCAGATGCATTGTAAGAAAGATACACTTCATTTTTTTAAAAGTGCTAATGCAGCCATTTGGTTTTGTAAAATATTTTTGTTGAATTGCTACACATTTTAATACTGCTTTTGTTATGTAATCTGATGTAAATAACCTTTACCTGCCTGTCTGTCTATATACAAATGATAAATATATTAGATACATTTGTGATGCTGCCTTTTTCCTGAAGCTACTTTTCTAGTAAAGAGAATTATGATATCTGATATGTTGCCTTGCCATCCATTATTAAATGCTTTACAAGTGATATTTTTATAAACAATGTGTGTAGGTCATTGATTAAAGAATTGGGTTGTATGTTGCCTTACTTATGTTTTTCTCATGTTGAAATTGCTGTCAAATGAGAATAAAGGTAACAAAATAATCTACAATGACTCTTGACCTGAAAACAGTAACTATAATGAGAAAAAAGTCTAATTCCCAAAGAATTTGAGGTACTATAATTTCTTTAAATATTTCATCTGTCAATCAAAGTGTCACATTCCTTAGTTACTTTTATACATTCAAAGAAAGCAGGAGACTCTGTTGTCTGTCTATAATAGTGCTTCTTTGAATGTTGTTTTAAATCATCCTTGCTTCAAATGACTTGGAAACCCAAATCTAAATTTAAATTGGTGGGAGAATGGAGCTTTAAGTCTTAATTTTTATTAGTAATTATGAAAAATCAGTAAGTTTTTCTGAGAACACATATCTTTTTGTAAATGGAATCCAAAGGATAAAATGTGACCAATTTAAGGAAAAGGTGGCAGTTATTCAGCAGCAGAGTTAATCTATGGTTACTATGAGTGGCTAGCTATGACAATTTGTTTTTAACTTCTAACATTTTATCACATTTCTTTGTTTTAATTTGTTAGAGTTAAGTAACCAGATAAAGCAACATTTGGTTTATCTTTTAAATAATGTGTTAAAATACACTGTTTATTTGATAGAAACATATGCAAATTGTAAACTATGTAAATGGGTGGTTTGTCAGCATACCTGATGTACTGTGTGATTTTTATCTTCACGATACAAGCTCACGTGTATCACCTAAGGATAACTTATATATTCACAGTGCTGAATAGGGTGATTATCATTTTACCTTATTTTAAATGTATATCTTCTTTTAGCATTGCATTTTATATATGTCCAAGAGAAATCAATTTTGAATGTGTATGTTAATTAAATCAAATATTATTTGTGCTACTTTACTGCCACTATTTTTACTGCTCAAATATGGTAAAAATTCCTTAGGCTTCAATGAGCACAGAATCAAACACATACAAATTAATAGTATTGTACCACAAGGCAAGTAATCATGCAGAATTTTGTGCCTGAATATACCTGTGTTATTACCATTAGTTAAATTAACTGGAATCTTGTATTAAACTATTTGATTTGACAAACAATATTATAGAAGAACCTAAACTGCAAACATGGTGGAGGCAAATATGTTGAATGGAACTTTGCAGCATCCATACTGTCTAATAAATAAATAAAAATTAAAAAAGAAGATATTGAAGTTATTCAAAAGTATATATTGAATAATTAGTGAAACTAAGTATGTTGGTTTTGTATTTTATTGGAATTACTGTCTGTATTTATTTTGCATAGAGTACATATCTTCTATGAAAATATGTATATAATACAGCTTGTTGTATGTTCTTTAATATATTATCTGTACCCTGCTTTAATCATGGTTTAAAATGTTTGCTAAAGTGACAGATCTTGTTAATTTCTGAAAAATATATTTCCATCTTTGAAATACTTTAGTAACATTGCAGAGGTTCAGAGAAGATTATAATTAAAGAGATACAGTTAACATGAAATCTCGGTAATTTTTAAAAAGAGATAAAAGTAGTTTCATGTTTCACTACTGGCAGTGAATCCCCCTGAAACTTTCTATGGCTTTCCATTAAATTTTTGTATTTTTATAATGTTTTTATCTTTACCACAGCTGTGTAACAGAAGCATGTGGGGGGAATTTGATTATTCAAGGTGATCTTGGCAGTTCACACAATCCTGTCAAGTTCAAAAAATAAACAAACTGAAAAAAATATGAACAATTATCTTTTTTTTACTCTCTCCATCTTCAGAATTTTGGGGGTAGGTGAAAATATTTCAGATAGAAGTATGATTTTTTTTGAAAGTTAGTAGCGACCCTTTAATGAATGCCATAGATTTGGGTTACTAGATGAAATTATTTATGGTCTAACGCATTAAGTTACTGCTAGCTACTGTTTTGGTGTACTCCAGCTGATAAATCCATATAATTAAATTGGTGCAAAATCAGGTGAAGACAAGAACAGTCAAGGGAAGAAAAAAATTAGATGACTAAAACAAACATCAAAAATAATGTTTTTGTTTATTAAAATGTTTATAAAACCTGTCCTATTTAAGTAGTGTAGGAACTACATACATCAGTGCATACTGGCTTGCATTGTCTTTTTAAAAAGGTGTATTTTGGAAGTCACCTATTAACAAGTCATGCAGGGAAAGTCTATAGGGACTGGTTTGTGGGTTTCTTTGGGGTTTTTTAAGTTTGAACATTATGACAGAGAGTCATGTAAAGATCTAGCAGTGATCATGTCATCATTTTAGACCCTTTTCCTGGTAGTCTTACCTTTTCACTAGCCCCTATGCAAAATGTTTTTTTTTTCTTCCTTTCTTCCTGATTCTACTCCTCTTTGGTTTCTGTACTCCTCAGGGCATACAGGGGAGTTACCTTGTGTGTATGGGTGAAGAGAACATTTAGGAACAGAAATCAGTAAACACACTAAGGTAAATTTGCAACACATTGCACCAGAAATTAACCCACATAGCCAATTGGAGGTGCTCATTCTGGTACCATTCTTGCTCCTGGCAATTACCCTTATGCATGTACTCAGTACTTTAATGTAAAAGTCTTGAGAAACCAGCACAAATTATGCTTAATTTTTTTTAAATATAACTGAAAGCTTGCTTTTTCAAATAGGAGCACAAAGATTTAGCCAATGGACTTCTCAATCCATTACAATTTATTTATTAAAGTGCCAAATAATATTTGAAAATGTATTCCATGCTGTTCAAAACAAGTTGTAAGACCAAAGTATGGTGAAATATTAAGTGCAAACTCTTTCAATCATGTTGGTGTCTTTGTTTCCTTTTATATCAAACCAAGTATAATAATTACATGCAAGATATTTAATGAAGCTTTCATACACTATTACTCATTATCTTTGCCATTAATATATGCTTAAGACAACTCTTTGATAACTAAGTATTTATTTACTTTGTATTCACTCTATCTGTGCCAAATTGTAAACACTTTGCACAACATAAATAGAAATCTTCTGGTAAAATATTATGGCTCCCTTTTCCAGGTCCAGCCAAAGAGTGTGAGGGGTCCAAGGTGACATGTAGTGGTTGACAGCACTATGTGGCTAGGTGGCTCTCAGCCAGGGCAGCAAGTGAGCAGCCAGGCGGGCGGGCGCCCGGCAGCCCAGGGCCCAAGGCAGCCACCTTGCTCGCCTTGCCCTAAGGCCGGGCCTGCCCTATCCTCCACATAGCGCAATAAGGCTCAGTATCAGACTTTCCAGGAAAACCTGGGCCAAGTGGATCTTACAGCATGTCTTCAAAGTCAGAAAATCTGGAAACCACAGAGCGAAAGAAATTCCAGAACCAGGGATCTCTTTCTGAGAATGTCCTGCCACCAGCTGCCTTCTACTTTATACTAGGATGGCACCCCTATCTTTAAATAGTCACATGATGGCAACATTTGCAGTAGCTGACAGGGAAGCAGCCTTTCAGGTAGCTGGGGTTTGAATCATTTAGGACATAAAGATCAAATGCCAACACTACATCTGGAATTAATTGGCAGCCAAGGTGGATTGCACAGCACAGGTATAAATGCTCTTTTGCTGAAATCCTGCTTTTAAAAAGCAGACCCCTGCATTCTATACCAGCTGTATTTTTTTTTTTTTTGCATCATCATAGCAAATTGGTATCTCAAGTAATAGGATATAATTTTCTTCAGAAACTATTGGATAATACCTAAAATCCTGATAACGACAGCATGCTAAATTGAATCTTTTTGCTATTTTGCAGCACTCTCAACAATAACAACATCACTCGACTTTCAGTGGCAAGTTTCAACCACATGCCCAAACTTAGAACCTTGTAAGTAGTCCCAGTGAAAATAGTGGTCTTTTCTGTTAATCTACTTCTACACAAATTTTGCTAGTAATTGTGGAAAAAGCTTCTAGATGGATTAGGGGGTAAGAAAGGGAAAAGTGCAAGTGAAAGATCTCCTGGGTGAGATCTGCTCCAGCAGCATTACAGAGGGATCTTGGAGGTGACATTAACAAAGCCCCTCAACCCAAAACCAGTAAGTGAGGCCCATAAACTAGACACCCATGTGTCAGTTAAACAGGGTGGATTCACACAAATGCAGCTGCCATGACCATTTCTCTATCCTGTCCCCAGTGCACCAATGCCCTCCACACTACATGAGTTTCACCACCAAGAGAGGAAGGTGAAGTGTAAGCAAGACTACTGTGCATATTACAACTGTATCTAAAAATAGGTGCTTTTGAAAGTGGGGAAAAAAGTGTTTTACTTTGAGCTATTCAGTAGGTCACATTTCATTTAAGAATTCAGAAGAATCTTTGATTGGCTGTCAGATGTGATAAATGGGAAATCTTTCTTTTATGAATGCACTGCTAGCAGCCCTAATTAAACTAAACTGGCTCTCCTGCATTCTTTGAAACAAAAAATTATAGCATCAACTGGTAGTGCTGTTATAATTAAGGCTGTGTCAGCATTTACATTAAGGCCCCCATTTTTAGCAGTTACGATTGAAACATAAGAGTATGCTTCAGGCTACTAATGTGAAACAAAGAAACTATGTTTGCAACTTCTCGCCTTTTTTAAGTTTACATAAAATTACACAAAAATTAAGGACGTATTTTTAATAAAAGATGAAATAGCTGTTAAATTACACACACACACACACACACACACACACACACACACACTTTCACTCTCTCTCTCAATAGAGAATTTATCTGGCATTGCTCAGGTCATTTGCATGCTCAGGGCAGGAGTGAGGGCTGGGAGGTGTGAGAAGGCATTGGTGCCACTTCCGGCAGAAAGTGTGGCACTGCTCTGGTGATGGCACCTCATTCAGCGGCTCCTTCCAGGAGAGGAGGACCAGGGTTGTGCTGCCTGCCCCCGCCCCCTAGTCCCACATCTCCTCGGAGTGGAGGGGAGCGGGCATGCTGCCCATGTCCCCTTTGGGATGGGAGGTCTTGTGCTGGTCATCCCTAGCAATGCTGCTGGGGATGGCAGTGGGACTGTTATGTGGCAAGGTCCGCCTGTCTGGCACTGATGCTGAGGGCCAGGAGTGAGGGATTTGGAGAAAAGGGGACCATTTATCTGTTGCCACTGTCCAGCAGTATAGAATTCTGGCCCCAGCTGTCTACTGTCTTTCTGGTGCAGCTGCTCCACTGTGATCACTGTGCAGTATAACTGTCCCACACATTCAATATCCCGAGTGGTCATTGTGGAGCATAACTGTCCTTCCTATCAGATCCCTCCCATTCTATGTTATGGAAAACAGTCCCCTTTCAGACACTTCCCATTTTCCTGGAACAACCAAACCCTGACCTTTCTTTAAGTTTGGAAAAGAGAACACTGCACACAGAATTTGGTAGTCCAAGCATTTACCGTTTAGGAAGAGTTCTTGAACAGATTGACTCTCAGATGGATGGACAAGCTCCTGGATGGGTTGATGCTCAAATGCTCTAAAATATGGAATGGCCCATAGATAGCACTTGTATGACCCAAAATGGCTTGGATTTAATTTTGTTTTATATGTAGGCCATGTTTGACAAATACAGTACAGGCAGTCCCCGGGTTACGTAGAAGATAGGGACTGTAGGTTTGTTCTTAAGTTGAATATGTATGTAAGTCAGAACTGGTACATATTGTAGGGGAAACTCTAGCTAAACATTTCTCCAGAGCTCAAGTTTTATTCTCCCACACCTCACTTCCCTCAGTCCTTTATTCTCAAGCTGAGGTGTCTGCTGAGAAAAGCCACCCCGCATCTCCCTGGTCTGCTGCGGGGGGGGCGCTAGCTTCGCGTCTCCCTGGTCTGCCTGGGGAAAGCAGCTAGTGCGGGGTTGCCTCACCCCGTTTGTAAGTAGGGATATGATGTAAGTCGAATCCATGTAACCCGGGGACTGCCTGTACCTCTCTTTATATATTTACATAAACTGTATTTCAACTCCTTAAACACAAGTGGTATTTAGGCAATAGACTATAATGCATGATTTTAATCTTTTTGCAAACCTTCATGCAGGTTTTTGTGGGAAGTTTGTTCTTAACATTTATTATAGAAACAAAGAAATTCACACAAAAAATCCTACATTATAACTGTAACATTTAGCTGTAACCATAAATAGCTAGAGGAGAATTCAAAAGAGAGCTTTGTCATTCTAATCCCATTTACCTTGATAATACTCACATGTAACTACATTGCCTTTAGTGGAGTTTCTGTGGGTTTGCAATGGTGCGAGAAAGTGGAGAATCAGACACTATGTCCTTACCTAGTGGTGGTCATGTACTACATTGCATCATACTATATTCTGTATCTCTCTGCTGTAGTATCCACACGATGTAAAATTAGTTAGGGAAAATACATCAATTTTAACTTTAATTTATATTCCTCTGTGAATGGAAATAAGAATCAATTAAATCAACTTGCATTTGTTGGTTGGTTCCACAGCCTTGATGTTACTTAATACAGTTTTTAGTGGGTTAATTAACTTTCTCGGCTGAGTTCTAATTTTTTAATATCCATTATTTGCTTAGAATTGAACACATTATCAGAAAAGGGCTAAAATTATATTACTCAATTAGGGATGTTTCTGGGAGCAAAGTTGTGATTTATAGCTTTGAATGTCCTTTTCTTTAGTTTCAGAAAATATAAAATCCAGGCTGAAGTAATTTACCTAATTCAGTGAATATGTTTGTCGGATATTTTATCAATGGCAAAGTGCTTTTTGGCACCTGGCAAGGAGCCATGATCTTGTGTAGGTCCCTGCCAACAGAGAGGCAGCTTACTTAATTCCTTCACTCATTGCCATTTGGTCTTTTAATTTCAGGCACTGCTTTGAATATGGGTCCCTAGGAGCCAAAAGCAGCTAATCCCCTTTTCTGTGTTTAAACAAAAGGAGAGAAAATCAGGAAGGGATGTGAAAGAAGGTGTTTTATATTGCATTTTTATTCTATCTTGTTCAGCAGCAAAATGAATATGACCTTCTAAAAGGATTTTGCAAGTAGTTTCTATAGAGACTAATGATGGCCAGACTTACTGATATCTCTAATTGGAAGCCAAATCTTTTATTAACTTTTTTGTTGTCAGTATATTACTGTGATAAACCAGTTTGCTTTAGACTTTCTTGTTTTATTGGCCTTTTGTACAGAGCTAAGCTAAAGAATTCAAGAGTTGTTTTCAAACAACTGGTGTATTTGTTTTTCTCTTTTGAGAGAATGAAGAAATTGTGTAGATACTCATTTTTGTGATAGCAAAGCTAGTTTCTTATTAAACTAATTGGACCAACTAAAAAGGCTTTTTGCTACTTAAATGTTAATAAATAAAGCTACATGAGTCTCTCCAGCTTCAAATGAAAAATTTAAAAAATCGATTCCTCATTAAGGATTTCTTATTAGTAAATCTTCCAGATCTGTAAAACTGTCACTCAGTTTTTTTGTTAATTTAAACATATTGACTTGTTTCCTCTCATTCAGTCGACTTCACTCCAATAATCTCTACTGTGATTGCCACCTGGCCTGGCTATCTGATTGGCTGCGACAGCGACCTCGAGTTGGCTTGTACACGCAGTGTATGGGCCCATCCCACCTGAGGGGACACAATGTAGCAGAGGTTCAAAAACGAGAATTTGTCTGCAGTGGTAAGGGAAACAAATTATGTAACAGAGCCCTGATTTAATGCATGTTTAACACCAGTTTAACAGCAATTGTACTGATATGCACGGTGTGGTCATTCTATGCCTTTCAGATCATCTTAATGTAAAGAAGTTTGAAAGCCTGTTCATTTATTTTGGAGATATAAATGGCTGCAATGTGGGTTTATTGTGTTCTTGTGCACTTCATGTAAATGATTCATGCCTTTCTAAAAATAATTTTTGGAGGTGGGTGACTATGAAAATGAAATATAAACGTACATTTTGAGACAGCAAGGAAACTGTCTAAATGAAATGACTCTTTAAATTTATAAGCTCTTTGTTCCCTACTTCAATATTTTCCACAGTTCTCACAAAAGAGCCACTTTTGGAATACCATGTGTATGTTTTAGCAACGCTGGTTGTTTTCTGAAGTGAAATAATGAAATGACTAACAATTCAGTACTAACCACTTTTTTATTCGTTTTTCTTCCCTTTATTCATAGATGAGGAAGAAGGCAAGTTCATGTTTCTTTTTTACTAGTTTTAGACTGGGATTAAAAAATATTTATAAATGTTGGTTTCTGGTAATGTTTTTGGTTCTCCAAATTCTAACATTCTTGCATACATGCAACTGCATCTGCAGTATTTAAGCCCTGATCCGCGAGTTTCATCATGCAGGCAGACCTGTGTGTCCAGCAGAACACCACTGTCAACTATAGAGTACCACACAGGCACCAGGATCTGTCCATACAAAGCGTGTAGGATTAAGGCTTAATTAGTGCATTGCTGTATTGATTATAATGCCTCCTCCGTTCACAAATACTGCCTTTGGGCGCAATTGCTGAGATCCAACCTAAAAATTCAGCTTTAAGTGAATATCTGTGAACATTCCCATTGTAAATCCAAAGTTTGGGGGATTTAGATCTCTATGCCTTGATATACATGTTTTAGCCCTGGGTCAGATTATTTTCATTTAACAATATCAATTTGGCTGGGTTTTTTTTTTACATTAGGAGTGTAACAAGAGTAGCATAGGTATATTAAGTTTTGGCTGCTTGTTTGGCTCTCCTGTAACTTGAGATTAATACTGAACTTTAGATATTGAAAAGTGGTAGTTTACAAGGCAAATCTTGTTTGTTAGTGTAATTTTTAAAATGGATCAGTTCAAGTTTGAAATACTGAACATGCAACTAGTTATAGCAATTTTAAAATTGCCTTATCTATATTAGCATCATAAAAATTCTAGGTGAAAGTATGACATTAGAGAATAAGGACATGTTAGTCTTAAAATCAAGATTGCGCAGTTAGTCACCAACATGTTTTTCGTGGGTTGAAAAGCTTTCTCCAATTTTCAAAACAAAAGCAAAACAAACAAACAAAAAAAGGCAGTCTCTCACCCTCCTGAATTTAAATAGCTACAGTGATTAAGGATATGTCTACACTGAAGAGTTTTTTCAGAAAAACAGCTGTTTTTCTGAAAAAAACTTCACTTATGTTCACACTGCAATCGCGTTCTTTTGAAAAAAAAATCTGAAGAACGGAGGGATTTTTCTCTTTCTACTAGGAAGAAGCCTTTTTCTGAATGACCTCTTTCAGAAAAAGGCGTGTGAAGATGAAAAAGAAAAAATGGTTGAAAATCTTGGCTGAATCTGTATCTTCAGTGCATTTCATTTTGCCCAGATATTTTTGTGCAACAAGCAGTTTTTTGGAACACATGAATGTTAAGCAATCTAAGAAATTATGAAACCAAGAGTTCAAGCTATATAGCTGAATTTTCTCTTTAACATAGTTCAACAGGCAAGTATTATTCAGATTAATTATTGTAATTCCAAGTAATTGATTTTTGTAGCTCTGTTATTTTGTAGGAAAAGGGAGAAATAGGTTGGTTCACTAGTAGAATGATCTGCACTTCTATTTGACTGCATTTTGCTGTTTTAGAAGAAGCAATCTGCTTTCTGTTCCAGGTCATCAGTCTTTTATGGCTCCCTCCTGCAGCGTCTTGCATTGTCCTACCACATGTACCTGTAGTAACAACATTGTTGATTGTCGTGGGAAAGGCCTTACTGAGATCCCAACCAATCTTCCAGAAACGATTACTGAAATGTAGGTGATCTTGCTTCTTTTATTTTTTTGCCATTAACTTGCAGAAATGTAGTATTATTTACTTATATTTATTTGCTGTCATAAGTAATATACTGGATAGGAAGAGTATTTTGGAATATACCAGAAATATTCTATTTAATGAACAGGAAATTATTTGTTATAATGTTGTATTTTCCACAATAGATTCATTATAGGGACATTAGCCAGAGATCTGTTTTTAATGTTACAACCAAAATGGTCTTAAAATGTGTCATCCAGACAACATACCACAATCTTACCTTTGCTCTGTTAGGTGGCTTTCCCTAGTCATCCCTTTTTAAAAAACTACCTATTCCCAGTGCAGCAAATTTCTCCATTAGACATCCACAACGAATTGTGCTTGGAGTAAATTGCTGGTAAAGGGATATCATCAAAAGGATAAGAACATAAGAATGGCCATACTGGGTCAGACCAAAGGTCCATGTAGTGCAGTATCCTGTCTGCCGACAGTGGTCAATACCAGATGCTCCAGAGGGAGGGAACACAACAGGAAATCCCTCCCCTGTCATCCATCTCTAGAGAAACTGAGGCTAGGGATAACATTTCTACCCACCCTGGCTAATAACCATTGATGGACCTAACCTCCATGAATCTATCTAAATTTAAGTCCTAGCCTAGCCTTCACCGTAGGTGATCCCTAGCTTCTTATATTGTGGGAATAAGTAAATAACTTTTCCTTATTCACTTTTTTAAATACCAGTCATGATTTTATAGACCTCTATCATGTCCCCCCTTAGTCTCCTCTTTTCTAAGGTGAAAAGTCCAAGTCTTTTTAATCTCTCTTCATATGGGACCCATTCCAAGCCCATAATAATTTCTGTTGCTCTTTTCTGAACCTTTTTCAATTCCAGTATATCTTTAAGATGATGCAACCACATCTGTATGCAGTATTCAAGATGTGGGCATATCATGGTTTTATATAGAGGCAATAAGATATTTTCTGTCTTATTCCATATCCCTTTTTTAATGACTCCTAACATTCTATTTGGTTTTTTGACTGCCGCTGCACGCTGAGTGGATGTTTTCAGAGACCTATCCAGAATGACTCCAAGATCGCTCTCTTGATTAATTGTAGCCAAATTAGTCCCCATCATATATAGTTGGGATTATTATATATGATATATATAGTTGGGATTATTTTTTCCATTGTGCGTTACTTTACATCTATTGACATTCGATTTCATTTGCCATTTTGCTGACCACTCACTTAATTTGGTGAGATCTTTTTGAAGTTCTTCACAGTCTGCTTTGTTCTTAACTATCTTGAGCAGTTTGATACCATCTGCAAATTTTGCCACCTCACTGTTTACCACTTTCTCTAGATCATTTTTTAATAAGTTGAATAGAATGGGTCCCAGGACAGACCCTTGGGGGTCTAGTTACCTCTCTCTACTTGGAAAACTTCCCATTTATTTCTACCCTTTGTTTCCTGTCTTTTAACCAGTTATCAATCCACAAAAGGACCTTCCCTCTTATCCCATGACAACTTACTTTACTTAAGAGCCTTTGGTGAGGGTCCTTGTCAAGGGCTTTCAGGACATCTAAGTATACTATATCCACTGGATCCCCCTTGTCCACATGTTTGTTGACCCCCTCAAAGAACTCTAGCAGATTAGTAAAGCATGATTTCCCTTTACAGAAACTATGTTGGCTTTCCCCCAATAAATGATATTCATCCATATGTGTTTTTATTCTTTACTATAGTTTCAGTTAATTTGCCCAGTATTGACGTTAAACTTAGCGGTCTGTAATTGCCAGGATCACCTCTAGGGCCCTTTTTAAATATTGGCGTCACGTTCGCTATCTTCTAATCATTAGGTATGGAAGCTGATTTAAAGGATAGGTTAAAAACCACAGATTAATAGTTCCACACTTGCCCACTTGAGTGCTTTCAGAACTCTTGGGTGAATGCCATCTGGTCCCGGTGACTTGTTACTGTTAAGTTTATCAGTTTGTTCCAAATCCTCTTCTAATGACACCTCAATCTGGGAGAATTCTTCAGATTTGTTACCTAAAAAGAATGGCTCAGGTTTAGGAATCTCCCCAGTATCCTCAGCCATGAAGACTGAAGCAGAGAATTCATTTAGCTTCTCTGCTATGACTTTATCCTCTTTGATTGCATCTCAATCGTCTAAGGGACCACTGGTTGTTTAGCTGGCTTACTGCGTCTGATGATTTTAGAAGGCTTAACTTTTCATATGTTATACAGGAGGAATAGTTTTGGAATATACAACTCCTTCTAATATCAGAATTTAGTTTATATGAATATACATGCTGTATAAGTTACACAACTCAATTCAGTTGGCTGGCACAGGGCCAAGTCACCTAAAATGATTTTGTTGTATTGCTCCACTGGTAAGTCGGTTGTTCTTGCCAAAAACTATTAACAGGTTATCCAATAGCTAAAACAGAGCCACCAGGCTTCATGATTTAAAACAGAAAAACCACAGCACAAGGTTACTCTCCAGTTGCAGTACTTTTCCAGTAAAAACCCTGTATAGAAAGTGAGATTTTAAAATGTAGTCTACACTGCATAGACTAGTGTACTTCTGATGTTTTCCACACATCTGTAGACTAAACTTTTGTTTAAATCTCCTTCAAGTGATTGTGCATGTGCATTCCATTCTTGGTATATGTGTGCCTAGTACATGGTGATCAGTATGAGTGGAATTGAGATGTGCAACAAGTCTGAACAGGTTAGCAACCTTTTTTATAAAAAGAGCAAAACTCCCATGAAAAAATATGAATTACAAACATATACTTATTAACAGTACAACTTATTTCCTTTCAGAAGCATTAAAAAAGGAAGGTGAAAGATACACAAGATAAGGGAACCATCTTCAAATTGTGTGGGTTTTTCACAAATAAAAATAATTTTGAAGATTCTCTGAAACAGCACATCCACAGATTTACTTACCTATGCTCTGAGTTTAAAAAAAAAAAAAAAAAAAAAAGTTTAAAGCGAATAGGTGAAGCAGAAACAGATGAAGCAATTTACATTGACCTTTATCCAACATTCAGTGATGATACATTAAAAGTAACTGAATTTGCAGCACTATGTCCAAGAAGAATATTTTTCAATACATTAGAAATTGTTTATGCAGAAATATTTAGTTTTTTGAAAAATGCTTGAAAACCCTCAGATGAACAAAGAATGCCCTCAGCTATTAACTCCAGGTACTGGATCGCACTATTGACATTATCCATTTTGAGTATCACCTCTGGACAGCATATATTTATACCCAGGAATACTCATTATCTTCAGTAAGTTTTCCAAAGTGTGATTAAAAGAAGAATTTGCTGTAGTCTATATTATATATGTAAGTATATAGAACATAAGAACAGCTGTACTGGGACAGACCAAAGGTCCTTCTAGCCCGGTATCCTGTCTACCGACAGTGGCCAGCACCAGGTGCCCCAGAGAGGGTGGACCGAAGACAATGATCAAGCGATTTGTCTCCTGCCATCTCTCTCCAGCCTCTGACAAACAGAGGCCAAGGACACCATTTTATCCCCTGGCTAATAGCCTTTTATGGACCTAACCTCCATGAACTTACCTAGCTTCTCTTTAAACTCTATTATAGTCCTAGCCTTCACAGCCTCCTCTGGCAAGGAGTTCCACAGGTTGACTACACAGGTTGAGCTACCATGTTGCTGCTGGTTTTAAAAGCATTGGAATTGCATAATGGCACAGTACAGGCAATTGAAGAAATAACATTTCTACCTCAGAGTGCACACAATCTTAGATCAGTTTAAAGGCAGTACAAGAACACAACAAGTATTTCAAAACAGTTTGGGCTGTTTTAACATCAGTTTAACATGATGAGAAAGGTGCTTTGTTTAGTGGTTGAATATTATGATAAGAATCAGGATTTTGAGTGGTGTTTTTGAGGTGAAAAATACAGTATACTTAGCACCCAGTATTTGGAAAGGACTCCAGCTACAATGGGCATTGCCACAGAAAGCAAGACGACAAAGGGGGTAGCAAGGTGAGAGGAGTGCATTTGGGGGAACAAGGAGATACATTGACAGAAGTAACTGGATGAGGAGAGACACAGGACTCTAAGTAAAGAACAAACTCAATGAAAGGACTAGAATGGACAGTGGAATACTTCACGAAGATATAGTCAGAGTGACATGACAAGAATAGAATCTTTACTGCTTTGTTATGTATAGATTGACAAAGGGAGAGAGTGAAGGCAAGATAGGAAGTTACTATTTATCACATAGTTAAAGTGAGATGTGATACATTTCTAAGGGCAAAGGGGGTAGCAGGTGAGAGGAGTGCTTTTGGAGGAACAAGAAATTACGATCAAGATTTGATCATATTTCTGGAGGAATGTCTACACATTCTGGAGGGATGTCTACACATTCTGGAGGGATGTGAAGGGGTAATCAGTTAAACTGGGTAAGCATCACCCTTTCCAAGACTGGGAGCTAGCAACCCCACAGGGCTTGCAGCCCCACCCACAGGCTAGGGCCATTCCAGCCTGACTGGGCTGGAGTGGTCCCCCATCCATGGGATCTCGCTTAATTGGTTAACCAGTTAAACGTAACCAGTGGATCCAGTCTTGTGGACTTGAAGTTTCCAAACCTATGCTTGAGCATATATGTGCATTGTAAATATGGGTTTGCAGATATTGGATCAGAAACTCACAGCCATGCTAATTGCACTACACAGACCTTCTGACTCAAGTCTGAAGATTAACCTTTGTCTATATACTGGAAAATTGCAAGATTTGTACCCAAGTCATAGTGGGATTTAGGCTCTGACCCACCTCTCCGCCCTCCTGCCCCCAGCAATGTCCTGAGTACTTGCTGACCCGTGTCAGACTCATCTGAGTGTGGACAGAAGGAAGACTTGGGCTCAAACTGGTTCCAGTTTTAAATATTTTCCTTTTTTAATTCAGTTAATTATTCTCTTCTTATATTGTGTAAGAGGATAAATGAGAATTCACAAT